TGGGCGTTGGGTGTGGCGGAGGCGGGCGGCGTGTGCGGCGCGAGCAGGAGGTGCAGCAGGCGCGGCAGCAGGCGGTGCTGCGGCGCGGCGCACGCGAACAGTCGCCGCTCCAACTCGCCCGCGCCCGCCGGCGTCGCCGCTCGCTCCCACCGCGCGCCTGCCACCACCACGCGCACCGCGTCCATAGACAGCTCGCCCGTCTCGCGACCTACACAACAACATTTCGTACACATTTTACTAAGTTCGTAAACAAGGTTTTTCTAATAATACAATAACTGTTTAACCAATTGCAATAACCAACTTATATTTAAAGATGTTGGTATGTTTCTTAAATAAAAATTTGTAAGAAATATTTACCGATTTCTGGTAAAGTATCATCAGGGGAGAGCATCATCTTTTCGAGTGGCTCGAGTTCGCGCACCAGTGATATGCCGGCGCGGCGCACCACCGCGCACCACCACCCGCTTTCTGCGTCACTTTTCTGCAACAAATGAAGTTAAATAGTTTATTATCATAGTGATATTATGATGTAGATAAAAATATTAATTTAAAGCTTACATGGTTGGAAACCATAAGACCAAGTGGTTTTTGAAGATTTTCCATGTACTGCAAACACCAACTGTACAAGTCTGACCAGCATCTGAAAAGATAGAAGTGTTTTAAAATGCGTTAGACAACAATTAGCAACACAAAAAAGTATAAGACCATTTCAACATACTTGTACATAAGCTGTGAGTGGTCTGGTGCGGCGGTGCGCGCGGTGAGCAGCCTCAGGCGCGCTTGCACCGCCGCTACCGCCGCCTCGCCCAGCTCCGCCTCCGCCCCACCTTCGCCACCAGCCCCGCCCAGCGCGCCCGCCTCGCCACTACACCACGTGCGCCGGTAGATCTAACACATAAAACAAACATTATTAACACTAGAAATATATCAACTACCAGTTATCCCGACACGTAAAAAGAGAAAAAGTTTATTTTCGTTTACGAGTCATCAGTTTAGGGTGAAAAGGAAAAAAGCTGACAATATTTTTCCGGTATACGGGAAAAAATAATAATTAGAACAGTATCTAAGTGTCGTACCACAAGTGCTTTCTTGATGACAGTAGGTGGGAAAAGGCCAGGAGCGAGTAGGCGTTCGCGGTATTGGTGAGGGGAGGAGAGTTGCGGTAGTGGGGGCGGAGCCTCACGCACCGCCACGCAGCGCCACGACACCTCCGCACCAACGCTAGTAGCTGCACATACACAAGACAATTTAAATTTATTTTTATATATATTACTTATGAAGGTGAACCTAAAATGAATATATAACTCAGGACTTTAAAAGATTTATCATCCACTACTAAAAAAAACTTACTGGATCTTAACTGTTTATACTAAGTTATGAGTGGTTTGTTTTAAAGTTACTTGAGTCATTTTTTTAATTGTACATCATTATCTTACTTGTAATAAAAGCATCTCCATCCGGCTGGTTCCACAACGCCCATATAGCATGGTTACCCTCGCCATAACCAATGGTGTAGTCAAGTAGATCTAGCTGAAATTATACATTAAAACAATTAAACTACTTTAGATGAAAGTTACATATTAAAGGTATTTTTTTTACAAGTTGAGTAACAAACCTGTGGTCCAAATATTTGACATATCTGTGAGAATACAACAGCGCCACCTCCACCATCGTGCATCTTCATAACAACAAATTCGCTGTCATTAGGAAACGACAGGTACACCACTAGTATTATACTTCTGTCCGTGCCTACAATGCTTTTCAACATATGACCTTGAGCTGAAAATTAGTTTTATAGGAATATACAAAACAATAAACTAAAAGTTAGGTAAAAATACAAATAATCTATATTAAGAGCTTACAATCCAGAAAATAACAATGCTGATACATACAACATGCATTATTTAAAAAAATCTAACTGCCACTCCTAGAGTTGTCAAGTAGTAATTATGAGGCCCTTAGGGACAGTTATATGTGTCCAATTAACAACAATGGTATCAGTATTTAAAAAAAAATGAATAGCAAAGTTAACATACGTGGTGGCTTTGGTCGGACTAGGGATTGTGAGAGGGGCGAGGAGACCGCAACCGGCGCTCCGCCTTCGTCGAGCGTCCATGCACGCAGACATGTATCGCCACAGATGGCCACTATCAAGCCATTGGTCACTACCACACCATAGGTTTCAACACCGTCTGTATTACTTTTACCCCTAGAAATTCAGTGTAACTTATTACTAGGCAGAATAAGAAGTTTCGGCCTTTGTAATTAAAATATACATAAGTCGCACTTAGGTCAACACAGAATTTTTTAATACATATATAAAAGTCCATAAAAGTTTTTAAAATATATGGATATTTGACTATAAGTGGATAAATATACAGATTTAAATAGATAATAATCTTCATAATAAAAAATTACCTTAATGCTCCTGTTATTCCAGATAAGAATCTAGGCACAGCCGATTCTCTCTTCAATAGTGTTGTAACTGCGGAGCCTGTAACAGGAAGCTTTACCAGAAGCAAGCCTCCTTCACTGCCATGACCAAATGAAAGAGCAAACACAGCTTCCCCACTATCACGCAGCATCGATGCACATGTGTGTGCTACACCAGTAGCTAAAACAATAATAAAAAAAATTAAACTAATGCAGGCAGCATGAATCTGATTTTCTAAATAAATGTAAAATTATCAAAGAGCATTTGAAAATTCTATGCTACAACGCCTAAAAAGGGCAAATTGTGCAAAATAAATAAATAAACTTATACTTAAATTACACTATTTTTACTTTTACACACATACAATTTCTTCTACAAGCATACCCACTGGATAAAATGGATCCCATGGATCTGTTTTGTAATCACTGCTTATAACATTACTTCTTTAAAATATCTTGTAATGATCACATATTATTAGCTATGTCACTCTGAGAATTAGTACTGTCATAAAAGGTAGAACTCAACTTACTTGTGTTTGCGTATTGATTTAAAATGTAATAATTATTTGGATTATTTACAGCATTTGTGTCATAGAATATAGATGCTGATGTATTGTTACTTGATCCAAATGCTGACTGAAAATAAATTTAGTTTTTTATTTCATTTCATTCTTAGAAAAGTACTTATTAGCTAGAGAATTATAAACATTTTAGGGAGTATAAACATGGTACACTAAACAAGAGAAAATGAACTGAAAGTTGTCTGAATTTTAACTTTTTCAAATTCTTGTTTATCTAATAAAATTTAAGCTCCAATTAGGCTACTCTAGCTTATTGACCCATTTTGTATAAAGATACAATACAGATACAAAGTATTTATCCATAAATAATAATCAAAATATTTTAAAAACAATGAAATTGTACCTTTCTTTCCAATGCTTCTGGATGAGGAAATACAAGTCTATGTACAGATGACACTGTAGCAGCCAAAATTATAACTTCTTGTGTTGATAACCTCTCATAAAATGTTAAATTGTTCAATGGTGGTGTCCCTGGAGCCACTTTGCAGCGCAAATTTGACACTGATAAATTAATATCAAGTGACGCTTCTGACAATTCTATGGCATCTGAAGTTGTTTGCCTATAAAAGAAAAACTTGTAAATTTTTGCTACAGTGTGAACTGCTACACGCATCAGTTAAATGTATAAAAATTTTTCAATTAATGTATAACAATGGATTTTCAAATGGTTGCTAAAAGGAAGAACTTTTGGGTTTAACTTTCATCATCTACTATCAATAAAAATATTTCATACCAGTAAATAAAACGATTTCTAGTATTTGCTTTTTTTGAATCCTTGTACCAATAGCCACCTGCTTTCTGAGGTAGCTTTATATCCTGTAATGTGCTGTGGGTACCACCTGGAAAGTGTAGAGTTAATGTTAATGCTTGATTTGAATTAATGATAAACCCTAACTCAAAAGCAAATATTACCTGTATTTAGTACAATTTCTTTCCATTTTTCAGGTATATTGTGATTAGGTCCAATTTCTTTGAAAGCTACTGACATTGACTCCATAACCTCCATAGCTTAATGTTAACCCTTGTCTAAAACTTGTTCAATTTATTTTAAAAATATACACAACATTTATTTTGCTGTTTTGGAAATAAAAGTTTTTAAAAATTCTTAGACGGTAATATTTGTACCGGAAAAGCGCCAATGTCCACCCAAGCTGTCAAGTTAAATGACAGTGACTTTTTTTTTTATTTTATGACCTGATAACATAGACCTTTAGGTCATAATGACAGTGACAACTGACACCAAACCAAAGAATATGTTCAAAGAGCATCTAAGATAATATACGAGCTAACCTTCGCTTTTGTGCATAGTATTTAAAAACGTCAAATTGTCAGTGTCACTTCCATGTTGCAATTTATCGCTAAATTAATAATAACGTAACCGGCAAATATTTGTCTCACATTTAAGAGTGAATTTTATACTATAAGTAACAAATAGCAACAAAAAAATGGTTTTAGCCCACGATATTAATGAAGGGCATCGTACACAAGATGTTCGTATCAGTCAAGACATTACTTTCGATTCAATGTTGCTTAGAACTCGCACGTTACAAGGATTGAATGATTCTGGATTTCATAGGCCATCACCGATTCAGCTTCATGGTATACCTCTAGGAAAATGTGGATTTGGTAAAGTACTTTCATCATCTTCATCTTGTAGTAGTAGAAAACAAATAATTTACATCAACGAAACACACTTGTGTATTTGTTTTTTTTTTGTAGACAATTTTTGAAAAGACTTCATATTAATTTACAGATTTATTATTAGAAGCCAAATCTGGAACGGGAAAGACAGCAGTTTTTTCTGTGATAGCATTAGAAAAGATAGATGTCAATAAGGGTTTGCAAGTGGTGATATTAGCTCCAACAAGAGAGATAGCAATGCAGATCCATGATGTTATAAAACAAATAGGTGTAAGATATGAAGGTAATTTTCAGTGTGTTTAAATCTCTTGTACAATTTCTGTCCATTCTTATTGGTAGTACAATGTTTATGAATATGATATTCAGCATAGTAAATTTGTTGACTATATGCGAATCGACTAAAAATTTCAATATCTTAATTATTGCAATTTATAAATATTTACATAACAGTCCTATTAAAATTTATCACAATGCATATTGTTGCTTGATTGCACAAAAGGAACTTGTTCAGTAGCCATAATTGTTTAAATTACTCTGAGAAATAACACTAATTGTAGGTGTTTACCATTTCTCTTAGTATTTGTAAATCTAAGATTTGAAGTTATCTTACAATAATCCTTTTTTTAGGTCTCTGTGTTGAGGTTGTAATGGGTGGCCTTCCTGTATTGGATGATGTAGAGAAATTTAAAAAGATTGTCCATATTGCAGTAGGTAGTCCGGGAAGATTAAAACATTTGATACAAGATAAATACATTGTTACCACCTCAGTTAGATTGTTGGTTCTAGATGAAGCAGATAAACTAATGGAAAAAAGCTTTGAGGCCGATATAAAGTATATTCACTCGGTTTTACCACAGCAGAAACAGGTGATAATGAGCAGTGCAACATTTACAGAGATTTCAAAGAATTTTATTAAAAATTATGTTCAAAATGCACAACATATATGCCCAGACAGCACTAATGTTCTTTTAGGAATAGAGCAAAGGGTAACTTTGGTTAAGTATAGTAGTAATATTGTTAAACAAACACAATATAAATTTGTGGAATTAATAAAGATATTGTCAAACAGACAGTTCAAACAATGTCTTATATTCTGTAACTATCAAGCTAGGGTTGTTGAGTTACATAAAATGTTGAATAAAGAAAAGTGGCCAGCGGGGCAGCTGTATGGACAACAACAACAAATTGAAAGATTGGATGCTTTAAAAATATTACAAGAATATAAATGTAGGTTGTTGATTGCAACTGATCTTGCAGCTCGAGGAATTGATGCTTCAAATGTTGATTTAGTTATTAATTTTGAAACTCCTTGCAATTGGGAAACTTATTTACACAGAATTGGAAGAGCAGGCAGATTTGGTTCGTATGGCCTTGCTATTACAATATTAAGTGAGGGAGCTGAACATAATAATTTCAAATCTTTAATAGAATCTCTTAAATTACCTTTTCTTTTAAAAGATTTTTGGTCAAGCACACCATTTTGTATTAAGACTGTACCTGAACAGTGTGATACTCCAGATACAGATAATCCGGATTTAAATAATAAGATTGTTTCAAAAGCTATTGAAGACGTAAAATATTCGAAATTGTGGGAAACATTAAATAGTAATGGAAAAAGTACAGAGGTAGAAAGCTTTGGTAATCTATGTGAATCATTCACAGAACCTGATAATAAAATTGATTTATTCAATGATTTGATACAATCATTTAAACAAAATGAAGTAAATACTGATAGTGAAAGCGTTAATTTTACGCAATTGAATCTTTTAAAATTGCCAGACAAAAGTCACTGTATACAAGAATTACAGGAAAAGACTAGTATAAGCTTAGTCAATAAAAATGATAAGGTGAAAGAATTTAAAAGACATAATGGGAACTCACAAACAGGGACAGAATGTAGTAAAATAATTTTAAACCAGAAAGATAATCATCACCGAAACCCTGATAATAAATATTCTACAAGAGATAACAGTGTGAATAGTAATTTAAAAAATGGTAATAAAAGTTCAACTAATAGTTCTAAAGCTAATTCACCAGTAACAAATCATAACTATGATTTGAACAGTAATGCCACAAACTGTTATGATGAAGCTATTGCTAACAATTATGAAAAAGAGGTTGAAAATATGAGTCAGCGGTTAGCCGATTTTATGTTACCGTCTTCATTTTCAAGCTCAAAACAGTCGCGAAAACATTTAATACATTCAGATAATGCAAATGAAGGTGATAATAAATGTGATAAGAGAACAAGAGATCGACAACACAATAAAACAAAATTTAGTTCTACAATTAAAACTAACGAAAAATTAAATCATCATCAAGAAAATAAAAATAAGGTAACAAGTGAAGTTTTAAGAGACAGTGATACCAGTGAGGAAGAAGAAAATCATATCACCCAATTAGATTCAAGAAAATCCAGGCAAAATTCTCACCATAGACATAAAATGTATGATGAAAAAAGGCAAGCTCCATCTACATCTAAAAGTAAGAACAAATCCAAACAAACAAAAACCTGCCAGTCTCAAAATATATATAAGCCTCAAAACACAAAGGAATATGATAATAAAAAATACATTGAATGGTACAATTCATTAAAATTACAGGTGAGACAAATAGAGCAGATTATTTATTTGAACGAAATAAGCAATTTAAGATGTAAGTAAAATTTTGTCTTAAGAAATCACTTAAAAGAAAACAATTAAACATAGTAAGATCTACAAAGAATAAACAATTATTCAAATGAATGTTCTGTTTGTTGTTATTTCAAGATATTTATGATTTTCCAAGTGGGTGAAATAAAAGAGCTTGTAAAACAGTACATCTAATTGCATTATAACATCTCACTTATTGTACACAATAGGTGTCGAAACATGATTGAAATAAGTACACATACTTAACATAATACACACATACTAAAATGCAATTCAGCAGTCATTTAAATTTTACACATTAAAAATTATACACTCAAGACATACAACCACCAAACGACAATTAACTTTTTGTATGTAGCATACTTTTGTACAATATTTTTCAATGACCAGTGATATACACTAGTAAGGCTATCTGACCCCGTGGGCATAAGTTGAACTAAAATATGACAGCTCACTAACACCTTCCTGTAAACGTCAAAAATGTTACAAGATTCATCTTTGTACTATACCTGTCATGTATTTTCTTTTGTTATTTTTTGTGTCTAAGTATGTTTTATATATATTCTGACAGAACCAACCGCGCCTTCCTCACCGGTTCAGATATCCTTGTTTTACTATAAATAAAATAAGGATAATTTGTGAAGAGGTCCATTACTTAGTTTCACATGTTTTAAAATAAAATGCTGTATGGTAATAGGCGCTCAATAATATTTATAAAGATAAAAGGATTACAAATCAATATAACACAATACAAAAGACCTACAAACTAAATGAAGGACACGACAGACTCAATTTAATATTGCTTGTTTTCATTACTTTTATTACAACCATTTCACTAAAGTCTGAATAAGTCACATTTTTTCAACAATAAGTCTACTCTATAGTTAAATATATACATGAAAGGTGGGTTTTAGATAAATTACATCAAACATTATTCGAAAAACACTAGGAAATAACTACTCTACAGAGTGGAACAATAATATTTACGCAGTTTTCAAGGAAATCTTATGAAAGTTATTGAACTTATTAGGGTAAAACTAGATATTAAATGCTTTTTATTTTTTTCATTATGCTGTGAGAATGAGATTCATAAAATATCGAGCTATAACAAATTCTTATATAGAAGCATTAAAGGAAGTAAAGCAGTTTACATAATTTTGTTGCAACAGATTTAATTACTTTAAACTTGTATTTATTAAAATGTGTCAAATTCACTGTTATATTGTAATATATTTTTATTAATTGGCTTTACAACTGTTTAGTAAAGGAAGTTTTGAAACACATTGTGCCAATTGTACTTTTTAAATTATTTGTCTTATCAAAGAGTTGACAGAATAGTAGAGAATTGTGATCACATACACTGTTGATACTTAAATGTTTTAGGCTCAAAACTATATGAGCATATAATTACGACAAAATCATTAGCTATTTAAAAACAAAAAGTTATATCATTTTTCATGTTAAAATACTCCTTTGTTTCCTTATATACTAGCTAATGTACTTCATAATATTGCTGTCAGACTCCATCTTATATCTTTAATGCAACCCTTACAGCTTTTATATATTGACTAGATTAACTTGTATTGCAGTTCTTATCTTAAAGTTAAGTTTGAAGCATAACAATAGCATCACTCGTGTTAATTCTTAGGATAAACGAGGAAGTAAGGAGACTAGTAAACATCTTTAGATATATACAATGTCCATAATATTTCAGTAATGGTTAAGCAAATTGAAAGTTTTACGCTAACCATTTTTTTCCATTGTCAAAATACTAATAAATTTACAGTCTTACCCAGATTAGCGAGAGTCCGAAGAACTACGATATTTTTTCGCTTAAAGAGGTTTCCCGCTTAGGAAAGTCTTGTGTCGGGACTGTCTAATTTATCGCTTATCCAGGTTGGACTGTATTCTCTTTTTCTCGGGGTTTTTTTTACTATATAGCTTGTGCATTTCTAAAGATGTCCATAATAAAGTTATACTAAGCAAGGTTACAGGAAATTCGCACATACTAGAACAGCATTGAATACACATTGAGTCAAGGACACACACGTTCACTCACACATACAAATGTCGGACGGTATAGCATTACAAATATTGCCAGTATAATAAACTTATAAAAATTATTATTTAATGTTCTCAATATAATTATTATTTATATGATAATTCTGTATGCATTTACACAAAATTCGACTAATAAAAATAATTAAAAATTAATAGATATTTAACTTAATTAAAATATATTGTTTTTTTTTATTAATTGGTCTGTTTGTTAAACATTTACACAGGGATTTGTAACAATAATATAATAAATAACTAAATATTAATTTAACTTTTAAGGTAATTTTGTAACTTGTACTAACTACTACTGATTTAAATATTTTTTAATGAATATATCGATGTGTTTTGCAAATTAAGATTCAGAAATCAATTTTTTGTCCTGGATTTTTTTTATACTAACTTCACGAAAATTAAAGGGTATTGCCATAATCCTGTCATTCAGAAATATGGAATTATTGTTTTAAAAATCTTTTTTAATAATAATATTAGTCTTGAGTACCTCAAATAACCTTTTTAATTTTTTTATGTAAATAATTATGAAACTAATATAAGTCGTAAAATGACAAAATTAAAATCTCAATTGAAATTTAGTAGCATTGGAATAAAAGTAATTTCATTTTTATAACTGTGTTCCTTATATAAATTTGTACATATTATTGCTATATATGAATAACTCTTACAATATAAATAGATAAACGTTTTTAAAAATAAAAACTTGGATTTACAATTGAAACAAATAAAATAATATTAAGTTTTTGAAACTGAAAAAAATTATTTGATAGCAGAACTATCTAGGAAAATATTTTCCATGAATATTATGTTAGTAAAAACCATGGAAGTTTAAAGTTATATATTTTCCATAAGGTACGATGACATTGACATGACAAAGAGAACACAATGTTTACAAAAATATATCTATTGGACTATTGCTCCAAGTTATTAGGGAACAATACGACCATTTGAGCATTTAATTAAGAGCAAAATGGTTTAATGACTGGTTATCAAATACTGTGTTTTTGTTATATATTAGTGCATTTAAGAGTCTTTACACTCAATTGGGAAACAGAAAAACTACAAAACTAGGGGGGAACATGTCTAAACATGTTGTACACATAAGGAATTCACAATTATATGTTGGTATATAGAAACTACATAAATGTAGATTTACAACATCTATTTGACTTGTTTTGTAATTAAAAGTGGGGGATCACGACAAATAACACCCAATATTTGAAAAAAACACTTATATAGCAAAATTGTTAATATCGAAAATTAGGAATTTAAATACACCTATATACTAACCTAAAACTAAAGCCTGCTTTTTATTGATTAACATTGTAAGGCATTGTCTTTTTCAATAATGTTGTGTGAAATTGACTGAGATGAGCTTATATATTGTGTAAGATTGCATTTGAACATTTTATTTTTTTTAATTATATATATGTATGGCACCGCATACCTTACTCTATTATGAGGCATCTCGGCAGGTGTTCGTGCAGGTAATCAAAGAGTTCGGGGGAAGCACCCGGACAGTTCGTGAGCTCCAACTCTCGCAACTGTCTCAACTGTATTAGACTGGAGAGGCCTCCTGAAGTCAATAGCGGACAACCTACAAAAATAATACATATCTACATACTAGTTTCTCTCATCAAAATATTTATTACAAAGACATTTCTATCTAAAAATGAAAATATATGCCGTTTTCCTATACCAGAGCTGAAGTAACATTTAATTTATTTTTACCAATCTAGGCAAACAAGTAGCGGGATTCTCATTTTTTTAAACAAAGGAACGACAGATGTTAAACTGATATACAGAAACAATAATAATAATAATAGTGTACCTGCGAGTGAGAGAAGCTGCAGGGAGCGCATGCCGCAGAGATGTTGTACGCCAAAATCTCGCAGCTGCGAACACCAGCGCAGGAACAGTGCTGCCAGAGACTGCATCGTGCTGATGTAGCCCACTCCGATGTCCGTTATGTGCACGCATCTTATGTTAAACAACCATATGTATTATTACGTTGTTGTTTGTGTGTGTGAATAATGAATACCCATAGTTTCGTCAGTCTTAAATATTAATTGCCGTACCTAGAGTGGTTAAAGTGTCGCAATGGTTGATTTAATTTAAGAAGTCCAAGTTTAGTGACGGTTTATGTAATTTATAATGGTTAGATGATGTGACTTTGTGAACGGTTGTAAGACATAGGGTGTTGTGTTTCATTATAAGTTTTATGGTATTACCTATCGAGCGTAAGCTCCTCGAGGTGGTTGAGGTCGCAGGCGATGTACTCGAGCGCGTTGTCTGTAACGCGGGGGCACCAGCTGAGGTCGAGGCTGCGCAGACGCGGCAGGTTCTCCGCCACCAGTTCCACACCTTCGTCCGTCACCTTGCTGCACCCGCTCAGCGACAGGACCGTCAGATTGGGTAATGAATGCACTGAAAACATTAAATTGTTTAATTTAAAATATGTTCACATTACCAAGACGACGATATTTATTACTTTAGTGTTCTAATTAGTTGGAGATATGCAATACCTATATTAACAATCCCATGATTCGTAAGCTCCCAACAGCTGTGAAGTCGCAGCACGCTCAACGAGGCGCTCTGCTTGGGGGAGAAGTACCCGAGGGCCGCATCAGTAACATGGTACGCTTGCAGTGAGAACTCGTACAGCGAAGGCAACAGTTGCGCCACCGCGCCCACCTGCAAGTACACATGTTTAACTGAACCAAATCATCGTCGTACGATAAGTCAAATACATTCAAGACCCAGAGCGTGAAAAACATGAATGCAAATGTTATATTATGAACTCGTTAACGGGATGTAAATGTGTTTATTAATCAATACTTACAGCCTCATCAGCAACATTAATGCAATCAGTAAGCGTGAGTGAAACTATACGCGGGGTTAGACATGCCCACAAACCAGCTTCTGTTATTTCATTGCAGCCTGTTAATTCTAATTCAAACAGAACCTAGAAATAAACATTACAACTATATTATTCTAATTCTTTAAATTTAAGACAGACTCAATTCTAATGTTTAATTAAACCAACCTGTAAATGATCAAGTATAGCTTCCAATCCCCGATCGGTTATAGTGCATCCTTTCAAACTAATGGCATGTATGTGGTGAGCAGAGAGAGGAAACTGCCTTATGAATTCGTTAATGTCGTCGTCGGTGGCGGACACTAGCACGACTCCCCGTATGCCCCGTCTTATTATAGAGTTGTAGAACCTCTGCATGCAGCACCCGGAGGCGGAGCGCAGCTCGCGGCAGTCCAGCACCGCTACCAGTCCATTCCACCAGCGAGGAGACGAATATAGGAGATCACGCCATTTGGTGCACACTTGCGCTAGCGTGCGGCGTTCGTTTGCGTTAAAGTAAAGAAAGAATTTTTCCAGGAATTTCTCATCTAAGATAAATTGAGGCCACAATAAGGGTCGCGGTTCGAGGCGTTTCCGACGAGGCACGCGCGGCGCAGCATGCGCCGGTCCACAGAGGGCGCTGGCCATGCGTTCGACGACGCCAGGGGAGCGTTTGCGTCCGCGCAACCCCAGCCCGGTGATACGGCGAGACAACTCCGCCGATGCTCGCTCCACCACTCCCTGCGCCGACACAGACGACATCTTGACCCGCACGCGCCGGATGGTGTCCGCCGGCCGCCCGCCACCCGGCCCCGCTCCACTCGCACCCCCCGCCCCGCCTGCACCCTGCTCGCAGCCCGCCACCGCGCTGACAACCACAACACAAAAGCTTCGAAATTTGCAATATAGTTTTTTATGCATGTCATCTATTGACCTTAATAATTAAATAACACATATGAAGCAGTTTTTACATTATATGTTTTGTTTGGGTACAGATTATTTTTTTAGTAAGTTTAATTTGTATCTTAAAACAGTTAATACACTAATTTGCTACTAAATTTAATTAATAACTTTTAACACAATCTTCATATATATATAATTCTTCTGTGAGTATGTATGTCACTGAACTTCTCTCAAACGACTGGACCGATTTTGATGAAATTTTTTGTGTGTGTTCAAGGGGATCTGGGAATGGTTTAGATTCACAATTTTGTCCGCTGGACAATGTTTTTTTTAATTAATTTTTAATTTATAAGTAGTTGTTGATTTTGGAATGTTTTACATTGGATCCGACAGACGGCGCTACCATCGCAGTGTCAAATTTTAAATAATATTCAAATTAAAGACGTGTAGACAGGACAACGTCTGTCGGGTCCGCTAGTATATTATAAATGGTTATTTTGTAAATCAAAAATAGATATTGTAACCTGTTGCTAATACTGATTATACTTAGGAACTATATATTAATCCTAAAAATATAAGAATTATAAAAAATAACATTTATAATAATAATCTCCATACATTCTATTCAAAAAAGTCACAATGCCATTTACCTACTCACGACCCACTCTTTCCACCCCACATTGGCCTAGCCATTTTCATTAATATAGTAGCTTGTTACATTTTGGTTTTAAAAAGTAATGTGTTTATGTTTTCACAGGTTTTTTAATATGTTATTATCTTTATCTTCATTGAGTACAAAAATTATGTCTATATGTTAAGGATCTTTGATGTATTCTTCATAACCTATTTTTTTTCAAATCATTAAATTATAACTGTGTATCATTTGTATATATTCGAATATTTTATTTAAATGTAAACAAATTGTTAAAATCAAAATTAAAAACTCTATTGTTTAAGAGTCTAATAAGAATATTAAGGTATAACAGTAATTTTTAGTATATACGTAAACAGCACCTTAAATAGCTGGATTTATAAAGTAATAGTTTAATTTTGGAAACATCTTTTTACTGTAAATACTCAATAAGTAATTAAATATATATTTTTAACGGCACATAAACAAAAAGATCGATGGGATTTTATACAAAATACAAACCTATAAATATGAAACTGTCAGCACAAGAGATTTCATCGCTTTAATTTTAAAACGATTTACAATTTTTATGTTTTTACACTGCACCATGTGAATTAAGAAAATTAGTTACGCAAAATAAAATATTACGAAATGCAACGAAATGACTAGATAAGTGACGCTGTCACAGCATGCAGCCAGCAGCCATAGACATGTAGGATAGAGTATATAAAACTTCTGAACTTCTGTATCTGTGCATAACAAAGAGTATGTTATGTACTCATCGCGCGTGTCAGAATTAAATTCTTTGATGACATTTATTTATGCAATATATGTAACTAATAATTAGTATAGGTAGAAAATGTAATATAATGTAATACATAACATACTTAGTTTATGTTTACTTCTGCCCTCTCTGATTTACACTATGCCTCCAAAGCCTCCGTTATTTATTACATAACTACGTATTTATATAAACCTTGCTAAGATACAATCCAACAGAACTTCCATTCCAATATTCCTTTTATAACATCCGTAGCCATAACGTGGTGGTCAATCTTTTACTATAAATCATACGATTTCTATTTCATTAATTTAAATGTCAATAAGCCATATCTTTCAAAGCAATAATTCAACAACACTCACATCCCAGATGACAATAATATTCATTCCTGGCTTGTGTAGTGCACTGGCTTGGTCTTGATATTCTCCATGCTTTCCTCTAGCAATGCAAACATTTTTTAGGGAGATGGGGACGAGTTTACGATGGAAAAAGTAAACAACATTTTGCAGGTACTCTTGTACACTTTATTGCAATAACACAGTCTTACAAAACAAAATCAATGATACAATGAATTAAAATGATGGTAACTACAAATCATAATCACATTATATTACTGACCTAAACTTGTCAATAAGCCGTCATTTTAAATGTAAGTAGGTAAATAACACTAGTTTGACAAAAATGAACTATTGCACATTGGTCCAAAATTACGAAAATAACCTTAATTTCATCTCTAATCTAGCAATTCAATAACCAAATAAATGTTAGAGCTATACGAATGAAGTAAATTAAAACCGCATTTAGCACCACCAATATTTTGTAACATAACTCTAAGATAAATTAATATTTTTACACATTTACACAACACGTCACATGTAAAGTGGATGTGCCCGCAATAGCTTCATAGTTACTGTAAGATGGTAATTAGCAAAAAAGTTAAATGTGAATATTTAATTATTCACTAATAAGATGTGTTAAATGTTTATTTTTTTATTAATAAGGTAAAATGATAGAAATGCCCCTAAGCAGTGTTGAAATTTAACTTTGTACTATAAGAACACTGCCATAGGAATAATGAATGAAAATGTAAAAACAAAAGGAACAGATTCTACAACAAAATCAATATTAAATTATACATAATGTACGTGGGTTTTTTTTATTTAGCCTTAGCAGATAGTGTTATAATTATAAAAAAACAACAGTGAAATTTATGTCCTATAAGAGATAATTTAAGCTTTGACAAAACGCCAAAGAAATATTATTATGCTGCAAATAAAATTTTGAGATTGTTTTGACTACCTACAACAAAATAAAGTATGATGTTATAAATTGCATTTTGTATAATTTAAAACGTTTAGCGCTGATCATAAATAAAGCTAGCTTTTAGATATTCGGCTTGAAACATAACAATAATTTTCGTTGTAGTTTCAGTCTTGTCATTTGATCCTGTAAAAAAAAAATTAAAATAACTTATCTGTATACAAAACTTTTTCTGTAGTAGTGTAGGTATTTACTATATTATAGCATGTTATGTACTAAGTTAATATAATTTTGGATAAACACATCACTATCACGTCTTTATCCCATTCAATGATGGATCGGTACATCAGGTTTTCGTTTTAGATAAATAAACATGTACACAATAATACTAAATTACATGGTTAGGTTTATTATTCTTCAAAAAGTTCTATGTGGCTTCTGTGTTCTATGTGGTGCCTATATCAGTGCTGGTTAAAAAAAATCACTATCCAATATATATCCGGGCTTAAGATACTCACGAGTGCAGTTTAGTGATAGGGCTTGAGGTATGCGTCGGTGGAGGCGAGGTCGCGGCGCAACCAGGCTGCGTTGAGGCGCACAGTCTCCAGAGCCTGCTGCACAGACCGCTCCGTTCCCGGCGAGTGGTGCGTGCGGAAGAACTCTTCGATCTCCTGGGCACTGGCCTCCGATGCGAAGTTCTCCGTGGTCGATTTCACCAGGCGAGCCAGTAGGAAACCACCCTTAAAAAACAAAAAGAGTATTCAGAACTACAGAAGAACATTGTAGAAAGCTTAACTAGTTATTTAGATATCATTATTTTCAACATTACTTTCTCGTAATGTTAAAGTGTTGTTTTTATGGCTCGTTAATGCGAATGGTAACAAAATAACATCAATTTACCTGGTAGCGGTCCATAAATTCCTGCCAGTGATCCTTGAAGAATTGCCACGCGAGGTCACGTCCGTTCTTACTTACCGCCACGGATACTATCACAAATACAGTATCTTGGGAACGGACTTCATCCTGTACAAATATTGAAACAGTAATATATTAATTAATTAAAAAGCATAGTTTTCAAATAATCGAATTAAAAGCGAAGATAAATAAATCTTCCTCAAAATTCTTTTTGGGAGCGAATTTTTTTATTTTATTTTGATATTGATGGGTATAAAATCCAACTCACCGATATAGCGAAGTCCAGCACACGTTTCAATAGTTCTGGGTCCTTGACGGCGCCGAGCGCGCGGCTGATGCGGTCCTTCTCCTCGTGCAGGTCAGCAGCGCGGTACAGCTGCAGGAAGCGTTGGAAGGTTGCGTCGTCAGCCTCCGCGAGCACCGCGCGGTAGCACGCCGACCGCAGGTCCGCCGGCAACGTGGACACGCCCGCAGCGTGCTTCTCGAAACTATATTATGACAAATCTCACATTAACAATGTTAATAAGAAAAGTATAGAGATTAGAATACTTTACTTATCAATGCCATATAACACAAATGTTTTATTTAATATAATAACTAAATATTTTAGAATGAAGACAATAGATACTATATTTAGTCCAAATGCTTTATGTAAAGTTCTACAAAGAATAATTATACATACCGGATTTTCGCCTCTTTTATAGTAATAGGATCTTCAAAACTAATCATTTTGTTCAGTACAAAACTTCTTAAAAGTGTATCGAGATGGCTTTCATTTTCCGCTGCGTCCCAACCCAATCGTTTAGTGACGCCAGAGAAAAGTTTTCGTCCATAGTTCTTCAAAGGTTTATCCAGAGCTGTATGCGAGAACAGAGCCGCCAATTTAGACAAACAATTTGAGATTGTAGACCAAACTGTGAAGTTATCTTCATTAACAAATGCTTCCATAAGTTTTAACGACTGTAATAAAAAAAAATAAAAAAAACGATTAAAAAAAGTGTCACAACATGCATCATCATATATACTATTAATTAATAGTATTAATATATCAAACAGAATATACAGGATAAAAAATAAAAAATAAATGATGTTTACCTCGGCAGTTTGAGTGTGTCCAGCTTGAACAAGTGCGAAACAGTCATCGAGTAGGCCCAGCCGGTCGAGCGGCGGTAGCGAGCCATCGCGGATAGCAGTCACTAGCTGCTCCAACATCTTGGGCGGGTAGCGCGTACGGTAGTACCCCACCTGAATCATACACAATGTATCGGCATCAAATACAAATTCAGTTCCTTTAACCTTTATGTATAAAAGTGAGTTAACACATTAAGAGCCTCACAGACCATTGCTAAAAAGTGTTAACTATCAAATGTTCTAAAGAATCATTTTTAATAATAAAGGCAATTAAGAAGCACTTCTTTAAGGAATCCTGTTAATATGAGGAAGTCTTACAGTTCCAGGATTAAGTTTGACCCAAGAATTTTCCGCGACATTCTCCAACACAACTTCTTGGCTTCTCTTATCCAGTACAGTTGACAGAGCGACCTGAAAAATAATATATTTAAATTAATAATTTGATAACATAATCATATGTAGTAATCAAAGTAAACATAAGTGTTGATAACATTCAATTGTACTGCAAACATAAAACAGAACTATTGCAATTATGATATGGAAAATACAAAGTCATATTAAATAAATACATACATATAAGTACACTACTCCAGTCCGCAAGTACTTTATACAACTGTTATTTATGTCTAAATGTACTACAATCGAACTTGGAGAAGCGAGTATCCAAGGGATTACGATAATTTCTCGCTGTTAAAGGTAGTCCATCGGGATCTGACAGTAACTCTCACTTATCCAGGCTCAACTGTTATTTTATAGTATTTTAGTATCTCAAGTCAAAACTACAATACATTGTCTTTCACTCCTTGTGTTTATTATGGATTTTAAGTGCCGCAACACTTGTATTGACACCTATTGCTGTCCTTGTCTTTATTATAGAGAATATGAAGGAAGACAGTACATTAAAGGTCCAACTCAACTAATTTAAAGACAGTGCTACTTTATATCATAATGTTTGGAAGTCTGATTTAAGGTTAAAAATAAGGACATGGATTATAAAATTTGATAATATTTCTTACATATTGTATTACTTATTTACAATGTTGTAAGAGTTTAATATTACTTTATAATTTTCGGGTATAGCACTATGTATTGAAGCGCACTCCTTCTGTGCACTAAATGGACCACATCTGGAAGCTTCTTGTTCTTGTCGATTGACCAATATATTCTGTTGATACTGTTACATGAAAATATATAACGACTTATGTATGATATAATACATTGTTTTTTGGATATACGTTTCATACGGTCAAATGTATTTTATACAACAAACATTTAAAAATAGGTCAACGTTAATATAATCTAACATTGATAGATAAGATAATAAAGATTTGTAGTCATTGATATAATTGGCGACCTTTACATGCAAACATATTGTATTTTTTTTATCAATATATTTATATTACCTTTGAAGGTTGCTCCTGTGTTGATATGGTTATTGGTATCATCCACAGTGAATCACCACCTTGACTACCATCGGCACAGAATTTCTGCTGGGTCAATTTCAAAATACGATTTGCTCCTCTTTGTTCGGAACATACCTAAAATTATTGTATTAAATTATAGATAAGAAATTGTATGGCCTACAATATGTAATACAAATAACTTTAACTTAATATATATCATAACTGTTACCAAAAATGGTGAATTTCATATATTTATAAATTCACTTTCTACATTTCAACATACTAAAATAAAGTAAGTACTACAAATATGGGGAAATGCAAATGCAAAGTACATACTTTTTTCAAATTTACTAGAATCTAAAATCATTTTGAATCAGAAACTACAAATTTCACATTAAAATATGTTTCCAAAATATGAAAAAAAAATAAGATAAAAACTGTAAACATTAAACAAACATATGTAAAATTAATTGTAAAATGAATAAGAATAAATGAGCTATGTATCTTTAATAAACATATACCTGCACCACTGGAAAGCCCATTTGTTTTGTCCAAGTAGACATTACAGCGCCTACAGGTTTATTTGAAGCCTCTTCTAATGCTGCCCATAAGTCCTCCGTAAAAGTATTTTTATACTAAAAAGAAACAACAACAAAATTATAGTAGGTTGATTTTAACAGATAAATATCATGCCAAAGTAAAAATTATGTCAAAAAATATTTACTTACCTGGTGTCGTGTAAGATAAATGTTCATGCCTTTACGAAAATCATCATCCCCAATATATCTGTGCAACATACGAATCACTGAAGCACCTTTGTTGTATGATATATCATCAAATATCTCATCTATTTCAGATGGGTGGCCTACGGGCACTTCTATTGGATGTGAATTCTTCAAGCAATCCAATTCTAAAGCCCTGGGAAAAATATCAGATTAATACAAGTCACGACTCATTATATTCAAAAATTATGCACATAAAATTATATGAAAGCAGAACAAATGCAAAGGTGAATGACATTCATTCAACCATTGGCAATGTTCCATTTTTGTACTAAAGCTGAAATAAATTGATAAACACATGACTAAGCAAATGTTTGATGAAGAAATTTATGCCCCTTTGTGAATTACATTTAGCATAACATACCTAAAATGTATATTCAAACATTTACACATAGACTTATGATATTAAAATAAATCAACTTAAATTTTTATACTGTACATTATTAATACTTATTTCAAATATTGTAACATATACATATTTCCTCACTTACCTAATATAGGTCTCTGTCACAAATTGTGTCCAGATATCATAGTCAGGGAACAGATGATTCACACACAGGAATTCAACAAAAGATGCATACCCTTCATTCAACCAAAGGTGTGTCCACCACTCCATAGTGACCAGATTACCAAACCATTGATGTGCCAGCTCATGACCAACTACAAGTGCTATCCATTGCCTTCTCACTGCTGAAGTATGCTCTTCATCTACCAATAGGCAAGTCTCTCTATATGTCACTAGACCCCAGTTTTCCATTGCACCAGCAGAAAAATCAGCAATTGCTATCAAATCAATTTTCGGCAAGGGGTATGCGATGTCAAAATACTCTTTATAATATGGTAGAACTTTGGCAGCAACTTCTAACGCAAATAATCCTTGCTTACTTTTACCCACAGGTGTATAAACTCGGACTAAAACTCCATCTCGAGATGTCATTTCAACGTAATCATACTCACCCACCACTACTGCCACAAGATATGTGGACATTATGGGAGTTGTATCAAAGTGAACCAATTTTTTGCCCTCTAATACCTTTTCGTCTTTTACTGGCATATTTGAAAGAGCTACTCTATCTGACGGAACTTCTAGTGAAATATCGAAAGTGGCTTTTATAGCAGGTTCATCCCAGCAGGGAAAACATCTGCGTGCATCTGTAGCCTCAAACTGAGTGACAGCAGCGTAACGCTCCTCGCCGCTGGGAGTTAGATATTTGCTTCTGTAAAGACCCTTCATTTTGTCATTGATTTCGCCAGTAAACTCACAGTACAGTGTAGCATCACCTTCGCGGAGAGCTTTTTCGAACACAATAACTGCTGTCTCATCCGATGTTGATAGCCGCACTTCCACAGGAGAGAGAGTCGGGTTGGCACCTCCATCCCCATATTCCAATTTCACGCTAGTCAACTCCAAATCTAAACAATTGAGTACAATTTCTTTGGTAGAATTCACGATCTGAAAGTGAATACGATGTCTAATGCGTCACATGGAAACGAGATTTTTGCAACAACTAGATTATGATGAAATTCTTTCTTACCGATACTTTCACCTCTGTCTTTCCACTAAAAGTGAATTTCTCGAGATTAGGAACCAATTGTAATTTGTAATGTTTTGGTACGACATTTTTAGGAAGTCGTTGGAACGGTTTGTTTTCGGGCATTGTCACTTTTTCTTTCAAGATCGGTAATGTGGGACGCTCAACTGAGAAATACCGTAATGACCGAGTGACAGAGTGAACTCGCGTTGCAACCGCACCCGCACCGCTCGCGCCGTAACGTACCCCCCTCTCCCGTCTTATCGCCACGAGCTCTTGTTTCGTGTAACGGTGTTCGCGTAACAATTTGTAATTGCGATTTAAATTATAGTATTTTCTGTTTTGTAAATTACATGTAAATGAATTACGTATAATGCGTAACAACTGTAGCGTCATGGAATGAAATTTATGTGACGCTGGCTCAGTATTATAGTGAAAGTTTTCCACTTAAAAAAGGCAAGGGCCTACCAATGACAACCTAAAACACAAAAAAACCTGACATTTCAATTTTTAACTTTATGTCTAGCTAACATTATGCCAGTCCAGTAGAGCTAAAAATCAACGCTAGCAAACAACTGACATAATGCAAACACTGTATGGCGCAAGTGAGCCCAAACAGTCCGTGTTGGCCAGCACTACTGTCCTACTGTACATAAATCAAACCAGTTATTATTACAAAAGCGGTGCTATCGCGATTCTGTCAGAGTATAGGTGCATAAAACCTTTTCCGACGTAAAAGAAAAAAATTACAAGACTGTTAGAGGAGCAATAGCATTGCTACTTTTTAAGTTAACAGGGGGGCGCTAGTGAGCTGTCATAACTTAGTTTTAGTTTTGCTCACCGGTTCAGATAACCTTGTCGGTTTCTTTTATAGATTTTGTGCAGCATTTCGGGCGTAAGGAACACCAAAAATTCAGATTCAGATAGTAGTTTTTTTAGTTTTCTGGTTTGAACTTCCATTGTCTATGGGTGTTTGATTGGTAAGATTTTATAAACTCTTTGGTAAGATTAGGGTAAAAAGGGGGTATGGGGGTGCTGGCAGCACATCAATATCAATACTCAAAGTGACTTGATGAATGACATTCACAGTACCACAGAGGTTGTATCAAGTTGTACTGTGAGTTTTTTGTGGTGTTTAATCTAACCAATATTAATTAAATTAACAAAAGGCTATGTAAATCTGATTTATAACCATTGAAATCACTATTCTCTCAAAGCGTTTCCATTCTCGCAAAGTTCTTACCTGAAGTAACTATGAAATTATGGAGTGGACATCTTTTTTTCTTTATAATTGGTAAGTTAATAAGACAAACATACCTTGACAGGACAATTGAAATCAAGTGAATTTAAATCCAAATTTCCTATTAATTTACAGCCTTTTCATCAGTATCATCTTCACGGGTCTTGGAGTTAAGTGATAAATTTATCGATTTAAGCGGCGATGGAATGTGGTTCGTAAAGTTCTATGCTCCATGGTGTGCGCATTGTCGGCGTTTGGAACCAATATGGGCACATGTGGCCCAGTCCTTGTACAATACCGCGATTAAAGTGGCAAAAGTTGATTGTACACGTTTTCCTACAGTGGCTACTCATTATAAAGTGAGAGCTTACCCAACAATAATGTTGTAAGTACAAAAACTGGTAATTTAAAATTTTTGTACTATTGTAAGTCCATTTAATGCACGACTGCCCTTGTTATATGCTTTTTTTTAATAAGAAAAGGGGGGAAACAAGCATCTGTGACAACTAGTGATTTTACACTAACCTTTAATTTGTAAGCATTACTTTCTTGACTGACTGTACTGACTAGTACTTAATCTTAAAAACTTCGATGTTCTAATGTCAATATATTTTTACCAACAGCATAAAGGGATCGCTCCAACATGAGTATACTGGAGAAAGGGAGAAAGATGATATGGTTAAATATGCAACGAGGATGGCTCAGCCAGCTGTTCAGAGAGTCACACATGCAGATAGCATTGGATACTTAAAAGAATCACATAATATCTTTTTTGGTTATGTGGGGAAGACAGAGGGACTTTTATGGGTAAAAATATCTTGTATTTATGACATAAGCCATGGTTTTTTTTAATGAATTTGCATAGTTTTACTTTGCCTCTTTTTTTTAAATGTTTAACTCAATGATTAGACTTATTGCATTAAGAGACATTTAATCTTACATTTCCAATTGAAATTCCAGGAAATGTTTGCTCTTCATGCTGAAAAATATCAGCCTCATACCTGGTTTTATGTAATGTCTAAAGATGTGATTAAAAATGAGATAGATCGGCCACATAATGACACCGCAGTATTTGTTTACAAAGAGGACGGAGTTTACTTCTTTGATGGTATTTATATTTTACAATGATTTGTCACAGTAAATCTGAGCTTAAGTTCTACAGAAATGTAAATTTTACAGCTTGTGAAGACCTGCTTATAGACCAAGAAGCTTTGAACACAACTTTAGATAAATGGATCAATACTGAACGGTTTGGATTTTTCCCAAAAATTACCAGAGCCAACATTAATCACTTTATGGATATTAATAAATACATAGTGATAGCAATAGTGTCTGAGAACAAGCTTGGGGAAATAACACAAACCGAGAGAGATTTTAAGGATATGATTGAAAGTATTATTCGGTAAGTAAAATTATAGTTGTTCATTTTTATACTAGGATTTAAAACAAAATTACAATATTTTTGAAGCTATTTATGTTTAAAATTTGGATACTCACTTTTAATAAGGGTGCACTTTACAACTCAATGTATTTCAGAAACATTTGTATGAAATGTTATTATGGGTTGTTTTATAATTTTTAGAAAGAAGAAATCTGAACTTCATGAGAATTTCCAATTTGGATGGATGGGCACTCCAGATTTGGCAAATTCTATTGCCATGTCTGACCTGACAGTTCCCCATTTGCTGGTTTTGAACTCTACCACAAGTCATCATCACATTCCTGACGATGACCCTGTCCTGATGACACCTGAAGCTGTTGTATGGTTCCTCGAACAGATATACACCCAGCAGGCACCTGTAAGTTTTATGTATTTTTATTTTATTTCCTGCTAATTTGTGGAATTTTGTACTGTAAAAAGTTTCCATATATAATTAAACCTGTAAAAATATTTTTCTTGCAGGACACTTAAAAGTTTGTGGTCATTGTTTGTTGAGTAAAATTACATGTTCATATTTTTACATAATATTTGTTCTTTTAATGCGAGATAAATTACAGGCATATGGTGGTGACTATTGGCTGATCCGCTTATACCGAGCATTCTTCGAGGCGCGGACGACTCTGAGCAGCATGTGGCGCGGCAACCCTGTGCTAACCGCACTCGTCTTCGGCCTGCCGCTCGGCTTCCTCTCCCTCATCTGTTATTCTGTCTTCTGCTCGGACATCCTCGACTCCGATGAAGACGAAGAGATCGGTAAAAATTTAAAATATATGAGATTCGTAAAAATGTATCTCTAAATCATATGAATCTTCAAAATATCCTAAACATTTGCGACTTAGGCGCGAACACTTAAATACTAGTCAAGTTTATTATGTGTGTAGAAGTTACCTTTTAACTTTTAAGATGTTTCTAGTCATCTACCAAAGAGTATATTATATTTAGCCGATGTTTATTATTTCATATAATGAGATATATCGTCGTTTGTTACTTGTGTTGTTGTGCTACTTATGTTAAAAATAATTATGTTAATAATTTTATACATTAGTAAATTACATGAAATGTTTTTTACATTTTATTGCTTTTGTGCTGGAAAATTAGGAATATTAGTTGTATAGCTTGGATCTCAATAAAGCCGTTTTATGCCTTTTACTATGGGCAATAAATGTTAGTTATAAGACAATGTTTGTTTGTATAATGTTTAATATTATAGTGTTGTTCCTGTTTAATTTATTATATCTGTCGCTTAAGAAATAACTATGAATATTGATAATCTAACAACTTTAGTTTCGTATTTTGCTATACTATGGTACTATTTAATAGCTATGCACAATATTAATACAAATACTACGTTGTTAAATTAGTGACCATACATGTTACATACTGTATTTAGCTAGCAAATGATATGCTATGGCATGTTAGGCCACGAGTAGAAGTTTGGTATTGGCTAAATAGCTTTTATTATACCGCTAACCATTAGGTTTATTAATTTGGTTTATGATAAAAATGCCTACGTAGCAAATCATTCAACTCGGAGAAGTCTTTAACGATTTCTTGAATTTTAAAGATTGATTATTGCTATTAAATTTTAAATAAAGGGTTAATTTTGCAAGACATATCACTTGCGATAGTATTTTGACAATCTGAATTAGCTTATCTTCAAACTGTTAACATATTAATGTTCTAACTTAGACTTGAATAACTTACTAGTCTTTATTTTAGTTATTAAGGTAAGAAATGTGATATGTTTACTATTAATTGTTTTTAATTCCAATATACTTAGTTTCTAAATCATATTGTAGGATTTTTTTGACAATATTGGTAGATGTATTTAAAGGAAAAGGAGCTTAATTTATAGTGCTGCGATGTAATGGGTGAGTTTGTAAATATAATTTCTATGTATTCACGCGTGAAAATGTAAAGACAAGTGAAACGTTTTGCTTATTATTCCTTTAGCTTATGAATAAATCTTGATTACGTTCCCGTGACTTGGATCTCAGAGTCTGAACTGAACATCAGGTTTGCACCATAGGCATTCTTATCACGAAATGTAGAAATATCTCTCTTATAAATAACAAACATTTATTATTTTCAGAATCCCACGAAAAGAAGGACTAAGTCGCCGAATATAATTTTTAACAATAAAAATAGTCGAAACTTTGAAGCCCCGAGAAAATAAATTTCTCATTTTTAACTTTTATGTAACAGTATTTGTGAATACGAAATTGATTTTGATTTTTGTCTAAGCTTAAAAAGAAATTAGGTTATTTATTACAAGCACTCTAAATATTTTTCCTATTTATAGCCGAGTATTCAAATCAAATCTCATACTTAAGATAATTTATTAATTTGTAATTAGATTATATAAGATCAAGATTTTAAAAACAACAATCAAAGTATTATATTTATAACAAAATACATGTTTGTTTTAGTGTCTTTACATATGTTTTGTGATTTCTTTATGTATTCATGACAATTATGTTAAAAACTATATAAATATTCATGGATTGAATAACAATTAAAATAAGATAAACATCACACGAAAATGCATATGTACTTAGTTCCTACAGATGTTAAAATTAATGGTGTTCATATTTTGCATACTTTCAAACGCAGTTTTTATTTATAAGAATGTAATCCCAGACCTTTGGTCATTTCATGACATTTCTCTCTGCTGTCTATAATAAATATTAATTTGGTGTATGTATTTCGAAACAAAAAGCATGTAGGTTTCCTTTAGTGAAGATTTGGGTATGCCAATAATACATATGTATGCATTTAACAATTATAGTTCTATATATTCTTGTATTTCGTTTATCAGTTAAAAACAT